TGGTCACTGTTTTGAACCTGTCCCATTGTCACCCATTATCTCCCGTCAAGCCTTCACAGGCACTCCCGTATTTCTCTTGCGTCCCGTATATCTGATCTATTCACCCATTTCCTTTTTTACCCGCATCTCAGCTCGCATGACCTCCTACCGGTTTGCCTCTTTTCTCAACTTGATCTCGTTTCCTTCTCCGTCCCGTCCCATCCCATCCCGTCCCGTCCCGTCTCCGTCCCGTCTCCGTCCCGTCTCCGTCCCGTCTCCGTCCCGTCTCCGTCCCGTCTCCGTCCCGTCTCCGTCCCGTCTCCGTCTCCGTCCCGTCCCGTCCCGTCCCGTCCCGTCCCGTCTCCGTCCCGTCTCCGTCCCGTCTCCGTCCCGTCTCCGTCCCGTCTCCGTCCCGTCTCCGTCCCGTCCCCGTCCCGTCTCCGTCCCGTCTCCTCTGGTGGGTGGGTGCTGATCGGCTGCCGCCGCTGGATCAGCCCAGTGCCCGTGTAGCGGTGAGCGGGTCTGGCGGTGCCGTGCTCGGTGTGCCGGTCACTATCATGTCATGACATTGCAGACTGTTAGGTGTCGGAGTGGGGCAGTGCTGCCCGCGGAGACGAGTGATGGAGGTAGCGGGGTTTCAGTGTTCCATTTTATTATCACCAGTGAACTGATCACCTAACATGGGTCTCAGACCAGAGAGTACCCGGCGCAACGGTCGACGAAAAGGAAACAAACAGGTAGGTGTCAGGCAGCAAGGAGAGTCACAATCTACATTACAAGCTGATCATTGCATGGCAATTTAAATTCTGTGAAGTCCTTGTATGAAATTGGTGTGACAGTATTTGCTGCTCTCATTTATGATGTTGAAGATCTATGTAGATACGCTATAGCCTTGCAAAAATGGCGTGTGTTCCGGCACGAGATGACGCGGCTGGTGTCCAATTTTAGGGCCCCAAACTAACTTGTCACCTCTAATATTGTATAGGTAAAACGCCAAAAGTCCGGCTGTTTAAAATAAAGTCGGCAAAAATGGTCGCAGAGCAACGATGTTTCCTATTGGCCAAGCTCATTTCCATTCGCGTCGAACGATATACACTTCTAGTCTATGGTGTTTAACCCTATTCCTGGCGGGGGGGGGCCTCAGGAGCCCCCCCCCCTGAGGTTTTTTGGTTATTTCTCCCAAACGCGTTGAGCTAGGAAGCTCAAATTTTCTGACTTTTCCTAAAAGGCTTCTACGCAACATGTCTGAAAATTTTGAGTTGATCTGACCTCAGGTCAGGTCACCAGAGGCGGTTTGGTGACCCTACCTCAGAAAAGTTTGCAATCACGCCAGAGCTAGAGTTTTTGACCGATCTATTTCTTCTCTTCAGGCTTTAGTTAGGGTACCAGTATGTGCAATTTGTATATCTCGGAATTTTGATATCGGCGACCTAAGGTCAGGTCAGTTTCGCGACCTCCCCATTATAAGTCAATGGGGGAAAAATCAACTCCCTGTTTTTACCACTAAAACGGGTCGGAATGGCCCCATATACCATACATGACTTCATATACGATCAACCTTCACTACCTTGAGGTCTGTTTTGCTGTTGGGCAGCTGTGAGGTCATGTGACGTCATCAAAGGTCACCAAAGGTTTTTGGCCAATAACTCCGTACAGGAACAAGATACAGACGCGTGGATGGTCTCATTGTGTTCAGCTCGTCAAGACGCATCGAATGATATACATGATGACCTCGAGGTCACGTGACCTGAGGTCAACCTTTGACCTTGACCTTGCGAGGTCAACATATATATCATTCGATGCGGATTGACGAGAGGATCACGATGATGCCCTTAGTTTGTTCCTATCTTGACTAATTCGAAAGTTATTCGAGAAAAACTCTCTCCATATCTAGCGCCGCCATTTTGACTTTTTCGACCCCTGTGACGTCATCTTTGACCTGACCTGAAAATGACCTTTGTAAAAATTGTAGATCTTGACCGTGCGTATCCGATGCCGTTTACCGTTTGTCGCTATCTTGCTCCGTTCTCGAGATCTCAGGGGGGGCCGAATCGGCCCCCCCCCCCGCCAGTTTCTTGTCCCGGCGGAGCCCGCCAGGAATAGGGTTAATGACCGTCGTGATGCTGAAGCCCTTCAGGTCATAAAGCTGGCTAATAGTTAGATGTCATATTCAATATCACTCCAGTCGACAGAGCATTTAGTTGTGCATGTCCCGAATATTTAACTCAATGTGATCGTTAGTGACAAATCAGGCGTCAGCAGCACAACTATCCATTTTGAAATTACAATTAACATCTAAGCTCAAGTTGAAAAAGATACATTGTGCATCGCACAAGACCTCATACCACAACAGCGCATCTCATCACAGCAGCATAGCACACAGAGCACAAAGGTGTCAGCCACAGACTTCTCTTTATATATAGAAGTCTTTGTCTCAGCTCCTATGGAAACAAAAAAGGCGAAATTAGGAGGTTAGGTGGGGTGTTGAAAAACTCTATTGTGTGATAAATTCAGGACAATACATAGGTCAATATTTACAAGGTCAAATGAGGTCAAACGTTGTCAAATTTGCCAGTTGTGGGTTTAGGTATTTTGTGTTTGCACGCCAATGCTTCAAGAAGTTACCGGCCGACTTTATTTCTCTCACTACTAGTACTAGCTGATTATCGCATTTCTTTCACCATAAGATTGCCTGTACATTTTATAAGTCTTCACAAAGATTTTGACGCAAATCGATCATTAGCAGCGGTAACCAGCGCAATGCAAAGACGGAACCATCCTGCGCCGGCAGTGAGACGGCGGCCGCCGCGCAACCGCTCCGGCGGGAATGGGATTTTCGAATTTACATCCTTGTTACTAAAAATTTGTAGACCGATTTTGTTGCTTTCGCGGCAAGATGTGCAGTTTAGTTTTAGGCAGGTACTGAAAATTTGAAGATAATTGAATGTTGCGGAAGACAGAAGGAGTGGGCGAAATCCCCCTCTTCCACTACGCGTGTTTCATGTAGTGCATATTTCTGATACCTAAAATAATTTACAATATATCAAAATATCATATCACAATGCCAAATAAAGTGCCGGAAGGACATCGCCACCACAGTTTTCATGATACCAATCACAACGAATAATTAACATGATATCAATGTTCATGCCTTCCTAGTCTGTTGAAACAGACCTCAAAACCGTATCATGCTAGCCACAGCATACTATATTGGGCTGTCTGGATTCTCAGTGCACCTTCATTAACCACAGTATTTGCCCTCACTCCAATGATGTTGTGTGATGCTGCCTGCTCGGCCCGTCACGGTGTCGGTCGTTATTCACGGTGTGGTGACGTTCCAAGCCGATGAAATCACGACACCTTGCATCACTGCGGGCACAGAGGTGCCTAGATAAAGCTATCACTCACCGGTCACAGCGCCAGACAGCCCTCCCCCTCCCCTCCCCATCACCACCAATGCAGCGGTGACGGCGGCTTGCACTCTGGTCTTTATCGATAATTGCGAGTACATATTGAACGAGAGAACCAGTAAGCGAATATTCTTCATGGTAGCTGACGATCTGGTAACTTGATTGTCTGATAATTATCTCATTTATCTTCTGCAATGATTAATCGGTGCCTAACTTTATCTAATGTTCAGCAAGTTGTGATGGTGATGGTTACCAAATACAAACGTGCAGCACATCCCATTCAGCTTGAGAAGCGCAACCGGCATTAGCTGAGCTAATTTGTTGAAGTTAATGACATAAAAACGTGCATTCCATGTCATCGTCAATATTATGTGTGCCGATATAACCCACGAGAGTCGAGAGGTTGTGTGGTGTCTCGAGGACTGCAGTAAGTGCCAAGAACATAACCGCATTCTCTCGGAGACTGCGTTATTGCACAGAACAGAAGCACCAGGTTGCGGAGAGCATGCTGGTGTTTGCTTTCTATGAGTAACTATACAGTCCCGGCGCTGCCTGTCGGGAAATATATGGTACACAACGACTTTATTTATTTAATACATCCTATATTTATATTTATATTATTTGAATATTTGAATTATTTGAACTAATTTGCATATTTGAATATATCCCTTTGTTTGTTTGGTAGGGTTGGGCTCATTTGATCTCATGAAACCTTTGCACAGCCCAAAGGGTGGTGGGAATTAGAGGGAGATATTGGTGTGGGCGGACACTCTGTTGCACCGCTGAGGCCGGGCCCGTCACCTGGACAGCCCACCCAGTCTCGTTAAAGGTCACCTCACCACACGATGGACCTGCCCCGAGAAGTTATAACCCTTTTAACTGGATGAAGGTGACCATGCAGCCTGGATTTGGGGGTTTGAGGCATGAAGGTAAGAAGTTGGTCATTTGCCTGCCCTGAGGATGAAAAAGAGGAAATGGTGAGAAGTTTCCTTTCGGAAAATCGGTTTATAACTAGCATATAAGAGAATAATGATTCTTTTTATCCATTTACTTTTAGTTTAGTCCGAACCTTTTGAATGGAAGAATTAACGAGGACAAAGCCCCCGCTAAGCAGAGTTTGTTGCGTTGGCCCATTCCTCCGCCCTCCGATCGCACAATGCTAGTTCTTTGGCAGAATTTGGAGTCTAAAGTTTAACGTACGCACATAGCCGCGCACGGCCGGTCCCTCACTGACTTAGCCTGGCTACGGCCTGCCACCAACCACAACCATACCCGTCAGGAGGCTCAAAAAGATCGAGCGCCCTTCGTGCTTCAAACCCGGACTGTTGTAACCGGGAGACGTGCTCTCACCACGCGGAGTCCAACGTTGACTCAGCTACGAGACCGGCGAGAGAATAGGGACTTGTTGTTAAACGGGAATGAATCGTGTGAATGTCGCATATGTTACGTTCTGAAATAGCGCTCCCCGGCCAAGGCTTCGCTTCCGTTGCGACGCTTCGTTGATACCGCCTTTAACATTTTTTTTCTCGCGGCTGCTCGGAACGCTTTAGCGATGGATAGCTAAAAATTGGGTTTATGCATCACCTGACAAGCGTTGCGTGCTGGTTGAAGATGGTGTAAGATTACACACATTGTGATGCCGTGACACTGCATGTGGCTGCACCCCAGCTGGCGGCCCTATCCCCGCCGGCACAGACAGCTGACACGTGTGACGTCATCTCTGTCTGTGTGACGAAACAACAGCCCGGGGGCAGGCCGCGCAACGGTCACCGGGATGAAAGTGATACGCCGAGTGACCTTGATTAGCCGGCGCACGGGGGGGGGGGAGGGTGGATGACGCCCCTCAGATCCACTGTGACGTGCCATGGGGAGACGGACGCTGCTTGCCACAGGCCAGTGTGACCTTCTGCAAGTTTGCTGTTTTCTGTCGTTTGCTGTCTGAGATGCGTGCCGTAGTCGGACTGATGATTCCCTGCTGCGTTTTGTGTCTCCCCAGGCGGACTCGTCTCACCGCTGTTGTCGGCTCGGGTCCGACCACCTCCCGCCGGTCCCCCGGCTACCCGGAGGTCGGCCCTCGTTCGTCCTCTGCCGAGCCCAGCCCCATGAGCCGTGGTTTCTGAAAGCCGCCTCTACTGCGCCCACTCAGCTGTGGAGGGGTCGGTACAGCGACCTCTCTGCCAGCTCCGACCCCGAGAGGGACCACACAGAGAAGGACCACGAAGAGAGGGACCATTCTGAGAGGGACCGCTCTGACACTTCTCCTGACCTGACCGGTCGTTCTGGTCAACCGGATCAGTTGGGGAGCGGTGTTTCACCCTCCTCCGGACCGCGAACGATAAGCTCGTGCAGTTGTGTCTCCGGTAGTGACTTGGACTGCCCGGACCCGGGAGCGGAGTCGTGCAGAGATCAGGTTACGGACTGGAGCGGCGTTAACAGAACAGAGACAGAATGGTGTGGTGGAGATGTCAGAACTGCGCCGGAGAGCCTGTCCGTCAGCGTCGACTCCTGCAGTCGTCTGGTGGCCTCTGCCAGCAGCTCAGCGTGCTCCTGTGTCAGTTCAGCAGCCGGTCAGCGTGCTGAGAGCCGATACGTGAGCACCGACAAACGGGTTACCAATCGAACCGTGAACATGGCATTGTGTAGAATGCATGTCTCTTCCTTTTTCTTTTTTTTTCTCTCTTCCTATTTGACTCTGTGTAGTGCATTACTGTCATACGTCATATGCATACTGTCGCGTCGTCTTTTCGCTTTTTCGATGCATCTAAGAAACGGCTCTAATTCTTTCAACCTCACCCAGCTAATAGGTATAATATTTCAACTTATTTTTAGCGGTATAAACAATAGCTCTCAATCCTCCAATGCTGTTGACCCTAAAACTCACACTTCTCTCACGCCCCTGTCTGCAGAGTGGCCTCCCAGCATCATCCCGGCGGAGCCCACCCAGCAAGGCAGCCCGGCCGGCGCTGACGCTGGTCCGGCGGGTCGACCAGCATCCGGACCCGGACCCGGACGAGGGTCCGAGCTCCGGGTGTCTCGGCGGCCACTCGCCGGCCGGACCCGTCACCCTGGCCTTCTGCGTCGGCTTCCTGCTGGCCCTGATCGGCGTCATCGTCTACATGGAAGGTGATTGGAGCGAGGGTGCCATGGCTGTGGGTATTAAATGACAAATTTTCCGGCCACCATTAGTGTGCCAATATTTTAGGACAATGATCTTGCAATTACATGCAACGTAATTTTTTTACGTTGCACGTAATTTTTTACAGTCACTGCTTGAACGCACAAATGTTTAGAATGAAAAAAATCATTAACGTTTTTTCATCCTTTTTCAATAAAAACGAACGATTCGCCATTCAATCTATGAAAAGCATGACCTACATTCATCGGTCCGTTTGCGAAGTTTTATAATGATGCCCTTTCGCAGTATACGTTTGGGCAGACGAGTAACTACATCGTTCTCGCCATGATCATCAGCAGCATCATCATCAGAGAGCGTCACCATCATCCGCCTCTGCTCAGTCTGTTCAGCAAAGAACGGCACGGTGTCATCGATCGTCTACTCTTTAGCCACTTCAGCCCACCGAGATAAACGACACCTTCTGATGGTGGTGAGGTGGCGAACTACAGCTTTACCATGTGACTGCTAGGGGACGCTGCGGCTTCTAATGCTTTTTTTGGTAGTGTGAGTGTCGGAAATGGAATATCGTACTGCACATTTCGCACTGCTCATAGAAATATAATCTTATCTGAACAGCCATGTGCATTTATCTACATCGATTTTACTCTTGATGACGATATTGGTAAAAAAGACAATCTTGCCCCCTGTCTAGCTATGGATTAGCCAATAGGTAGATGCTTTCCTTTTCTACCTTGTATTTCGACCACAGTAAAATCGGTAGTGGCGCTGACTGCTCAGGAGGGGAGGGGTAAAGACAAACGAGGTAACAAAAGGTTCAGATGTTATAAGGAGATAAAAATTCAAGAATCCTTGTTGAACCTAATTTTTTGTGGGGATGGGGGTAAAAGAGGGATTGGAGCTTCGCTGAGTGTTTATATCCCGTATCCGGCTGACGCACTGCACTCGTTTTTGCTGAAGTCTGATATTCGTTAACCTGCGCCGGGCCGGTGCTCTGAGATTCCACGCCGGGCCGGGGGGGGGGGGTGTCTGAACATCCCCCCTTCTAACTCGGCTCCTGGACCACGTAGCGACACGCGGTAAGCGTCAATCGAAAGAACGTCCAAAATAAGGACGAAAATACTTCAGTCATTTTCTGGGTCAGGTCAAAGGTCAGGTCACCAGAGGTCACCAAAGGTAAAATGTTGACTATTTCAACATTTTGGAAACTGCCGACGGCTATCTCGGGAACCGATAGAGCTACAGCGCCGCGGAAAAGCGCATTCCATATCCCTTTTACAGACCTTTCTGAGTAATGTTCTCAGATTTGACATCAGGTCAACGGTTTAGCCTCCAGAGGGCAAAAACTCCAAAAATAGCCGTTTTTACGAAAAGCGTTTTTTCGGCAATAACTTTTGACTTAAAAGAGCCATGACATTACTTTTGCCAGCATCGTGTTTCTCTCGTAGAGACGCGTCGAATGAATTATAATTTGATTTTTAAAGGTCAATTTGAAAATTTGACCTCAGGTCAAGGTCATGACCTGACCGGAAAAGGTCATGTTGCATATCAGTCGATCCGCAACGTCGAGCCGAACACATCTAAGGCGTTTTTAGCGCTCTAGCACGCCTCTATCAAAAGTTATTAGCAGACATGTGCACGGATCCCAGACAACCAATCACGGAAATCGAGATGGCCATTAGATTGACGGTCTTCAAGCATGAAATTATGGTGGAAAACATGGCTCATAGAAGCCTCTCAATGAACCAACTATTTTGCATTCCTTCAGGGTTAACAGTTCTGAGAAAATCCCTCAAGATCCATCTCGGATCCATGATTCGTGGCCATGGATCCGAGATGGATCTTGAGGGATTTTCTCAAAACTGTGAACTCTGAGGGAATGCAAAATAGTTGATTCGTTGAGAGGCATCTATTAGCCATGTTTTCCACCATAATTCCATGCTTGAAGTCCACTAATCTAGTGGCCATCTTGATTTTCGTGTTTGGTCGTCTGGGATCCGTGCCCATGTCTGGTTATTAGCGAAAAACTGTTGATTCTGTAATATGTTCGTGACCTGAGATGACCTCGGGGACATAACGAGGGGTCACAGTTGCCATTTTCCGGTTCAGTGTGTCAATTTTACCTTATACATCTCGATGTTTGAGAGTGTCTAGAATAGCGTTCGTGCAAAACAGACGCTTTTCAATTTTCTCCCATTGACTTATAATGGAGAGGCCGCAGAATTGACCTGAACTTGGGTCACCGATATCAAAATTCTGAGATCAAATTTTATAGATAATGTTGCTCTTATCAATCGCTGAACTGTTTCAAGGCAATCGATCAATCGGTGTAGCTATGGCGAGCATTCTTATTTTTTCTGAGATGAGGTCACTTGGCGTGACCTGGTGACCTGATCTAAAGCGACCTGGGTCTAAAATTTTCAGAACATGTGCGGTAAAGATGCACGAACAGGTGTCCGTTTTTTGAGATATCTGCGAAAAACCGCAGGGGGGGGGGGTGTTCAAACACCCCCCCCCCGGCCCGGCGCGGGTTAAAAGACACGCTGTTTTCAAGAAACATCTTGCAAACTAAAACATTGAACAATAATATGCATACCTAGTAGGGGAGAGTGGGGTATGATGCCCAGGGTGGGAAAGACGCCCCACCCCCTCTACCGGCAAAACAAAAAGTCAAACCTGGAAATTAACCCTATTAGTGGCAGGCTCCTGGCTACCCCTATTAGTGGCAGGGGGGCTGTTTACGACCCCCCTTGATATTTCGGGATCTAACCGGCCGATTTTCAAAATTTAAACGGCATTCGATTTCGCTCAACGTGATCTACATTTCAAAAAGTAAAAATTTAAAAAAAATGTCAATAGGGGGTAGAGGGAGGTAAAAATGGGCAAATTGCAGATACATTTTAGACTGCTTATCACGGCCAGGTTTCTGAACCAATCGTAACGCAACTTTTGCCGATCGATAGAGAATGAGCCAGGAATTCACATGGATCCTAAAAATATGCATTTTCAAAAATCATAGGCGGATACAGATCATTGAGATTGGGGGTACACAAAAAGTATAATAAACAAGTTTTTTGTTGGTACTGTTTCTAAAAAGGGTGGTAATGATCTTGTTATGTTACAATTTTCTTATGAGAGAATGACTACAATTGTATTGGTCATGCATAGGCGGTGTCAGGGCACCTATGTATGTTGGGAGGTAAAACATAACCCCCCTTTTTGGACGCCTGGATCCGCCTATTATAGCAAAAACGTGTCAAAAGAGGATGCACAATAACTTTGTATATGTTATCACATGATACCTTTCATTCAATGTTCGTAAAACTGGTGCATATAGTTATAATACATCAGCATCGTGATCTTCGCCCCAATGACTCGCTTCACGAATAGGACCCCCCAATTCCCAGTGCTCTGGAGCCGCCCCTGATAAAGTTATGAACTTGAGATTTTCAGAGAATGTGCCCAATTTTGTTTTAGGAAAAGTCAGAAAATTTCAGCATCGTAGCTTCAGCGGTTTCGGAGACATTCCCGAAAAACCTGAGGGGTGGATGAAAACAACCCCCCCCTGCCACTAATAGGGTTAATGTTATTAGCGTAAAGCGGAAACCTTCCTTGTTTACTGCACAAAAATTTGCCAAGCTCAGTTTGGCAACGGTGGGCTGGTGGTTGGCTGTTTTATATCTCCTGCTTTCAAATGATATTTAAGTGTCAAAGCATTGTGAATATCAAAGAAAATGTAAAAAAAAATAACAAAACAAGTCCCTTGCTATTGTCGTGATACATTTATATGCGTGTACTTTTACCTCAACTAGTTTGTTTCAGGGTGTAGTTTTAGTGCTAACAAAATTTACTGATTAAATGTTAATTCGGTACCTTGGGGAAAGATGCCCCCTGACCTGATAGGGAAAGACGCCCCTCTGGGCTGCCCTTTAAGAAACTCGTCGAATCATTTAGTACATACTTGTGAAGAAAGACAAAAGTGGATTTGGGACTATTGAGAGTCCAATACGGTCAGGTGCTCGTCATGTCGGTCTCTTGGCTCATATGCCTCCTTTTTGGACGGTATCTGACTCTGAGAGCCCTCACGACGGCCTCTGTGGGCCCCATTATTGGCTCCGAGGTCCCTCACGACACTCTTTGAGAGCTCCCGAGCTGGCCCCACGGGCCGCGCTGGCATGTGAGGTCCCCACGATAGTCTTGAGGGCCTTCAAGTCTCATGAAGACCTATAAGGGCCCCACAACGGTCTCCGAACGTCACCACGGAGGCTTGTTTGGCCGCGCTGGACTATGATGGCCCCATGATGACCTCTGAAACCCCTTGTGACGACTGTTTTTGCCCTTATGATGGCGTTTAATTGTCTACCGCAGACTCGAATGTAACTGATTCGTTCAGGCAATTCACGTGCCCATTTTTGTCACTTAGAGTGTGGATGGGCATCTTACCCAACCGCTGGGGCGTCTTTTCCACCCTCTGGGGTAAGATGCCCCCTTGCACTTCTTCAGGAAAATGATTAATAGCAAAAAAGTTATCATATTTCAAGCACAAAAGTGTGTTATTTTGTGGAGAAAAATGATATCGGGTTCCGTTGAAACTCCAAGTTTTATCTTTCCGATTGTCATTTTCGAATGATTTATGACATTGCAAACCCCTGGGCATCTTTCCCCACTCTCCCCTACCTACCTAGTACATACCTATCCCATCTGTACTCAGACTTCAGACAGTGGCAAAAACGTTTTCAGATTCTGCCAGCTCTCCTCATGATCCATATTCTTGCAAAAAAATCAGGTGTGGGTAGGTATGTTTTCGTTGGCTTTCTTATTTTCTATCGACTCCAACAAAATGTTTGTGATTGTGAAGGAAATTGCCATGTTTTTTGGCGTGTTCTGCCTGCAGGGCTTTTGGCAGTTAGCACTTCTGACTGTAATGACTAATTTTGTATAGTGCTCGTAGAAAGCCTCATAAGAACGGGGTATTCCCTCTCTTCAAGGCTGTCAGTCATGAGGAAGTCATTTCGCTGCGACTCAGACTACCCCAAGGCCCGTCTAATTCCGTCAGTAACTCCCCAGTCGGCGCCGCAGTGTAGCCTGGGGCGGCAGATGGCCCACCGGTGACCCTGAGCGCGGCAGGACCGGTGCGGGTGTGACCAGGGCCTCCCGCGCGCCCTCCTTCTCGGAACGGCTTATCGCCCGGGACATTCAGCGACCTTCAGACGGCGAGCGGTCTGTCTGCCGCCCAAACACGGTCACACGGAACTGGATCTTGACCTCAGCGCGCTTGGGCCAGGTCAGAGGCTACTTAATTAATCTACCATGCATTAGATTGAGGTGTTTATAGATAACTCAATACCCTTTCCTTGGATTCATTAGACTTACTGAGCATAGTTGGGAGATATGTGCGGCCCTCGAGGTAAAAATAGTTGTTTGTCAACATCACAATTGTCGGTCTATATTGATGAATTCATCTAATAGTTGTTGAAAACCATTGCCGAAGTCGCATGAGCCTTCTTCTAATTTTCTTGAGTCATTTGCTGGAGTGACTAAAGCTATTTTACCAAAAACACATCGGCAAACCAGTAACCAACCACACTTTTGCTGGAGGGTCGTATGCACGATAATGGTTGAATCAAAGACTTCACTCGTTCCCTGTAATTGGGAACGTTTGATCATTCCCATCAGCGTGTTGGGAAAAGTTTTCGTTACATTACAATACATACATACATCAGGTAGACAACAACACCTACATTTTAATGCCTAATGGGTTATGGGAATTTTAGAGCTAGATGACCAAAGGTCAGCCTCAACTCATATGTCAATGTTATGTTCATGTCCAGTGACCTCACATCAGTAAAGCAGAATTGCTCACTCCATTACTACACCGATTGAGTGATAACTCTAAAAGAGAAAAATGGTGAGAGAACAGATTGTTATGAAAAAAATCACAAAATTTTATGCCGGTTACAAAGGTCTAATTTGTTTCGCGACGTCGCAATTTTAACCCGGCATTTGCTGGGGTATTTCGCCACCCACCGTTTGCTGGGGGGGGGGGGGCGTAAAACGCCCCCAGCCGATAACTCGAGAACCAATACATAGGCGCAGCGAAACGCACGAGGCGGCAAACGAAAGAACGCGACGAGACGCTTCAGATGAGTACTCCCTCGCCCGCACATGCCATTTTCCCATCCTAGAACGCACATGAAGGGGGGGGGGTGGTTGCCACCCCCCCCCCCCGCGCCATTTCGTTCGGCTGTTGGAGAAAGAGCTTAGCGGTAAAGACCAAAAAGATTCTTTGGGAAGAGACAAATCCAATGATACCCAGTTTTACCTTCTCAGGTCAGTCATTGACCTTCCAGGTCAGGTCAAACTAAAAAATATTGCTGTTTTGGGTCACCGTTGGATATCAAGTGCGCTGCTTATCATATACCGATGACGATGCCGTTTTCTGGTGCCAAGCCAGCTAGAACCTCTTTGTCACACTACCCGACCAGGTTTTTGCTGCTGAGGTCATTTCAGGTCAAGTTAGGTCAAGGTCAATGATATGTGTTTGTATGTCTGTGTGTGTCTGTGTGTATACTGATGTGTACACCTATTGTGTATGTGTCCATATTACATGAAATCATGATCTGAGAAGCTTTTACCAAAAATGCAGTCAAAAAAACTTCACAAAAAGTAAATTCATCTTGCCTAAAACGCAATTATCTTAGATGACCTAGGTTGACCTTGACCCTGACCTTGACATCTGTACATCGTCGAACAGCATGTTCCATGATAGGTGGGAGGTAAGACTGGCAAAAAAGGCCGAAATCAAGGTGTCAAAAGCTCACAAGGCCCATAGCCAACGCAATGTTGAGAATTGGCCATTTGGGTCATGACATGACCTGAAAAAAAAAACAAGGTCATATCTCCGAAACCAAAAATTACAGAAACTTGAAATTTTCAGTAAATATCAAAAAAGGATAGAGGAGCAGCTATACGAAAAATCAGCCTTCTAGCTCTAAAAATGTTGAGTGCAGAGCAGAAAGACTACCTGGGGGTGGCAACCCCACCCCCCATGTGCGGGCGAGGGTTAAAGTTGAATTTTGAGGTCACAGGTCGGGTCAAGGTCAGGTCAAACACCTGAAATCAGGCTTTCAGTAGCATGGACTTCAGGACTTCGCTATGGGCGCCTTTCTTCATAAACTCTGTCAAAACGGTGCACAATCCTTCATATAAGGCATACAAGAGTGTCAGCTCCATGTAGGGGTCAGTCAAGCATAGGTCAGGGTCAAGGTCAGGTGGTGCGCCGTTTTTATGCTATGGCGCGGCGAAAATAGTGAGGGCGTTTAACGCCCCCCCCCCCCCCAGCAACTCGCGGGTTAAGTCAGTAGAAAAGTAACAACTGCACTTTTTGCTTCAGGCCTCTGCAAACGTAAGTGGGACCCGATTTTTGAGATCATGCAGTGTTATGAAAAGGTTACGAAACATCTTTTTGTCAATGACATTTGATAGAGAGATTGAACAGCGATGACATTTTGGAGTAGGATAATGTAATGTCCATCTTCAGTCTATCTGTTTAAACGCCATGCAAAAAAAGCTTGTACTTACGCATTCCACCTTTGATTGGTTACAATCAAGCCACAGCAACGGCACTGGTTAATTAAATTCATTTTATTTTATGCAAAAAAGACGCGCTTAACTTATAATTTACCTGCATCAGAAGCATCCCAAAATATAAAAAATCGTCCATTATGATGGTAGGCTAGGTGTATATCTATTCACTTAAAAAATTCAATCGTCCGGATGCACATATCCTTTCGGCATAGTCTTCCGTCGCTGAAGCTAATAACCCTTTTCGCGCGAATCCAATTAGCACTAGTCGCGTGGGTGCCCAGTCCCTCTGGCGGCGGCACCCGGTCTCCCTGACCCCTGTGACCCCCACGACCCCGATTACCGTCTGTGGGGAGGAGGGGAGGGGGGCGCCGCTATAAATATCGCCATCTCCTCTGCTGAGGCAGTTTCCCCAGCGACCGCGGAGCTCACCGCAGATATGGCGCCGATGGTAAGGCTCACAATTAGTACACACAGAGACACAGCTGAGTAAACACGGACACGCATTTTCACTTCTGTGTTCGTAAATATCCTTGGCAAGTAGGGACACATACATGTATCCTATAACTACTGACCTTACAGCATTATAACTCCATAACATCATAGTGCATTATACTTTCCGTTGATATCTCATTTGTCGTTTCTTTCTTTTTGTTACAAATATAAAACGTTACCACCTGTATCCTGGTAACAGGGTGTTTCCGCTCAGGTGTCCGTTTGACGCCCCCGCCCCCCACCCCGTGTTCCAGCGAGCTCTCCTGTTGGTGGCTCTGCTGGTGCTCGCCGCAGCACCTCACGGTGAAGCCGGCAGACGCGGCGGTCACGGCAGGAGCCGGCGCATTGGTGGCCATGGCGGCTGGTCCAGCCGTGGATACAGCGCTGGGTCCAGCCGTGGATACAGCGCTGGATATACAGCTGGACACGGACAGTCCCTGAGCGCTGGATACGGCGGTGGATCCAAGGGTGGCCATGGAGGATTCTCAAGCGGTGGTTACGGCAAAGGATCCAGTTTTGGACACGGGAGGTCTCTAAGTGCTGGATACGGTGGTGGATCCAACAGCGGGCATGGAGCATTCTCCAGCGGTGGCTATGGAAGTGGATCAAACTTTGGACACCGTAGTACCAGCGGACATGGTGGATTTTCCAGTGCTGGATACGGAGGTGGATCCAGCTTTGGACACCGCCGTAGCAGCGGACACGGTGGTTTCTCCAGTGGAGGATACAGCACCGGATCCTCCGCCGGACACGGGAGGTCTCTGAGCGCTGGATACGGTGGTGCATCCAACGGTGGATATGGAGGCGGATCCAAGGGCGGCCATGGCGGATTCTCCAGTCGGGGATACGGAGGTGGATCCAACCTTGGACACCGCAGTAGCAGCAGGCACGGAGGATTCTCCAGTGGTGGATACGGAGGCAGGTCCAGCTTTGGGCACGGACAGTCCATAAGCTCTGGGTACGGCGGTGGATCTAACCTTGGACACCGTAGAAGCAGCGGACACAGTGGGTTCTCCAGCGGTGGATACGGTGGCGGATCCCGTGGTGGCTACGGTGGTGGATCCAGCCATGGACGCCGCAGTAGCGGGCACGGCGGTTTCTCCAGCGGTGGATACGGTCACGGAGGTGGATCCCGCGGCGGATACGGAGGTGGATCCCGCGGCGGACACCGCGGCGGCTCACTCGGCTTCGGAGGTGGTTTCACCAAGGGCAGGTCATTCACCAGTGGAGGATATCGCCAGGGAGGACATCGCTGGTAAAAACACACGCTGTGCCTGCCGAGCAGTGTGCAGTGTGAATTATTCGAATTTACAACTAGGAATGTATTCATGACCCTCATTAATGACACATGCACTATCGTATCGTGCGCTGTTTGCGGCCGCTGCCCGGCTGTCCGTTTGTCCTGGACCGCTCACACTGGCGCTGTTCGCTTGTATCATGCGCGACATAAACTCAGCTCGCTTATGTTTTCATGTCAGCACTGTCATCGTCGTTTACCTCTCAGCAAATCAATAAAGTGGAAACCGATAAATTCAGAGTTGATGGCTTCAGAAAACCACCAAAAGCGAAAAGATACCTAGTACGGAGTATAAAATGCCAAATAAATATGATTATTGCTAGGCCAACGACGTAACTAGTTTCAAAATGTTTGATTACGGAGCGAGCGAAGCGAGCGTAGTCTTTCCTTAGATTAAAGGGACACTCCCACCTTAACATTAGTTTTGAGTTGAGATAGCCAAATTGGTGGCCATGGCCTGCAAATACCGGTTTGGGCACTCACAACATCGAAAAATGCTTTAATTCGAAGATATGGAATTTCAAACTTGCAGTTTTTGGATTCTAAGGGGCTAATGCATTGGAATGCCCCCTTAGAATTTGTGACGTCAGCGGAGATCTAACGATTTTTAAATCTTAGACTAAAACCATCGTTAACACGTGGTGGTATACGCTGCTTTGCGCGCAACGTCTGCCGCACTTTAAGGCTGCCAAATTATTGCTTCCAAATAAAGTCGCTAGTAACAGGGGAGATCCCAAAAAGTAAACAAAAGTAAAAGCCTAATATCTTGATAACCAGTGAATGTTTTTCGGTGAAATTTGGTAGATATTCGTTTTCGCTCTTTCTGAACCAAGGGACATCACTTTCATGCCAATTCATTAACTTTTTTGAAGGTGGGAGGGTCCCTTTAACGGAAATTTCTGAGTATGAGCGGCCGGCCGGCCGGCCGGCCGTGGTCACGCTTTTGCGAGGCTTATATCTCAGCAACCACTTGACCGATTTACACGCGGTAATTTTTGTAGGGTAGCTTCATTCCTTCTACCAAGTATTGGACTATTGCCGATGCATGTGGGTGACCACTTATGCACGTGCCACGTGCAAAACGAAGAGGTGTCACTTTTGTAATTGTTGCAATATCTCGGTAACTACTTGGCCGATTGCGCTGAAAGTTGGCATGTAGGTAGGCACCCACTAGGCAATGCATATCCATGTGCCAGAGTTGGGGTGCTGCTGCACGTGCGCACGTGCAGGGGTCGATTCCAAATCTCGAGAACGGCTGGACCGATGGCGCTCAAATTTGGCACATGGTTAGGGGCCGGTTAGTAGGGTGCCGTGCAAAAGTTAGTTGGGACCCATTTTGCACGTGCGCACGTGACGGGTGCCGATTTCAGATCTCGAGAACGGCTGGACCGATTGCGCTCAAATTTGGCACATCGCTAGAGACCGGTTAGTAGGGTGCCGTGCACAAGTCAGCTGGAGGTACCCCCTCAAAATTTCGCACGTGCAAGGCTCACCCTCTCGCTCGCTCCGTTAGTCGCCCATAAGGCGTTATACTGGTATTTATTCATCGTTAGCCCGACCGGGCCCAGGGGGTAATCCCATCCACCGCAGCCCGGGGGGACGTTCTTCGCCTCCCCCTCTAACTCCGTAAATAAGGAAGCTACGGAAACAAAATAGGTACGAAACGAAAGGTCTTTACAAGACGATTCTGAAGCACCTAAGATATTGACCTCAGGTCAATTTGCAAGGCTAGAGTTCAAAGTTTAAAGCAAACACCGGCACATGTGTATTGTGTAATGATCTCAAAGTAAGCGCTCCAGAGGACGGCAGGATGCACAAAAGCGGCTAAAATGGGTGTGAAGCGAAAGAAGAGGTTATGAGGATTCCAACGATGCGTCCAATATTCAAGGTCAAGGTCATGGTAAAAAATGACCTCAAACATTGCAATTTTTCGTGTATCTTGTGTACTAAATTCCAATACGTTTTGAAATGAATCCAAGCTTATCAGGCCCCTATTTGTGGTTCATGTTACGAGCAAGGCTCATCCAAGGTCAAGGTTACGAAGAGTACCCTTGCTGGAGGCTATTCTACTGATTCAAGTCAGCCATAATAATTACGACAATTTTGTCATCCTGAGGCTCTATGTAAATGAATGCTTAAAACACGCGCAGTGGAAGGGGGGGGGGGTCGGATTTCGCCCACCCCTCCTGTTTTTCGCCAATAACTCGCGCCGCAAGCATAATATCAATGGGAAATTTCGGCTACCTGTCCAGAATTGAATTGCGGATCTTCTCGTGCAAGAAGTAAGAAAATCGGTTCACAACTTTTCTAGTAATAGCGGTGTAAAGTCAAACATCCTGCCGCCGCGGCGGCCGGCGCTAGCCGTTACGCGCCGCCTGAATTGTAGACTGTGCCGGGGCGGGACAGTTCTGTCTTTACATCGCGCTCCTTGCCGCTGATTATATTAGATTCGCGTCAAATTCGGTGAGAAGACTGAGAAATGTACAGGCAATCATATGGTCAAATAATTTTGAAAATTGGCCGGTAACAACTTGAGTTATGAGTGTGTAAACACAAACTTGTGATTGCCGCGTTTCCCGCGTCGGCCGATGCCGCTTCAGCCGGCGACATCTTACCCTTAGCAGTCTTCTAACCAAGGGCGGCGCCACCGTGGTGCCCCCACTGGCAGGAGGCCGTGGGGGCAAGACTATGGTTTTGCCCCCACAAAATTTGGCTGATGTATGAGAACAGAAGACCGGTGCAACATTCATTATAGGCGGTTATAATAGTACGCCTGTGTTTGACGGTCTTCGTATCAAGTGCGTCAGCAGAACGTTCGTTCTCGGACCGTCTGTCGCATATCTCCTACTCCCACTCATTCTCCCATTTTCATTCACCAAAAGGCTGCCCTCGAGCTTGATCTCGAGGAGGTTGAGAAGCGGTTTATCAAAAGTGGGCCAGAGAAGAGATCACCCTCTTTTGGGAACCCTTAGACTGAGACTGAGCTCAGAGAGGTATGACAAAATGTGATAGGTATGTATATCCCGGGTTATCTGGAATTGTATGTGGGTCGCCCTAATGGAGCTTATTCTCGTATAGTACCTATATCAATCGTATGTGAGACAATCGCACATATATGATATATACGTACCGCCTACGGGGAAAAGGAGAAATAGGTACTGGCTATAGTTTTGAGGAACACACCATTTTACATCTCAACGAACAACATAACGTTTTCACAGCTTTGTGTCTCGCAATCTAGTTTTATAGTTTTATTTCGGCCGGGCCCGTGGGTAATCCTAACCGCCGCAGCCCGGGGTAGCCCTCCCCCTTGTTTAACTCCGTTAATAAGGCAGCTACGGAAACAAAAATGGTACCAAACGAAAAGTATCTATGAGAAGATTCTAAAGCACCTAAACTTTTTGACCTCAGGTCAGTTTTCAAGGTCAGAATTCAAGGTCAAAGGCAAAAACCGGCATTTATGTAGTGGTCTCAAAGTACGTGTTCCAGAGGACGGCATGGTGCATAAAATTGGCTAAAAGGGATGTTGAACAAAAGAAGAGAATCCGTGGATTCCGATGATGTGCATAACATTCAAATTCAAGGTCACGATCATGCTCAAAATTGACCACAAACTTTGCACTTTTTCTTATATCTTGTATACTAAACTCCGAGATGTTCTGATATGTTTTCAAGCTTAGCGGACCCCTATTTGTGCTTAAGCTTACGATACAAGGCTGCTACAAGGTCAAAGTCACAAGAGAGTATCCTTGCTAGAGGCTATTTCACTATTCAAGTCAGGCATAATAACTAAGACATGTTTTGCCATACTGAGACTCTAAATGAATGCTTACAGCAAAATGGATGCCAGAGACCCAGAATCGTGATCAGCGGCTACGAAATCATCACAAATAACCTTCCATGTGTAAAAAATCAACCAAATGTCATTCGAGGTCACATGAGGCCAACATAAAACTTTACCTTTTCCAAACAATATATACGAGTATGTCATTCAACGCGTCTCGACATGAGACTAATGCGAAGGTACCACTGCCGTAGCTCCAGGACCATTTTTGTTTAAGTTATTTGCGAAAAAAGAAACTAAAGCCCCAGCTCGGGGTCGTTGCCCTGACCTCTGACCTCAGGTCACCAAAGTTACTTAACCCGGGCGGGGCTGGGGGGGGGTAAATTTTACCCCCCCCCTCGCGAATTTTTGCGATATCTCAAAAACGGCGGCGCGCAGCGCCGCCAAACTTTCAGTACCTTTTCTTACATCAAATTGACACGTTCCCTGAAAATTTGAGCGAAATCCGTCGGAAAATTTTTGAGAAATTGACGTTTTAGTGACGTCATGTTCGCCATTTTCGCCTCAAAAACGGCAAAAGTTCAAACGCCGCTAACATCTTCATTTTTAAAGGAATCAAGACGTAACAAAAAAGGTTATACGTAATTTTACTTTGTCTATCAAATGGCTATCTCGGTTTTTTGAAAATTTTGGATTTTGGCCTAAATTTTTTTCAAAAAACTGACTTTTTTGGGAAAATCATTATAAAATCCAAAATTTTGAGTCTATCGAAAAAACCGGAATATATGTCAGAGAAGTGGTCTATGTGCACCTACATACCAAATTTGAGAAGAATCGGTTCAAAAATGTGGGAGTTATTCAAAATTTTATGACGTCACGACACACAATTTTTTTGAAAAATGACTTTTTTGGAAGTTCTAGACCTCGTACGGAAACAAAAATAGCACCATTCGATTCGCCGTGAAAAACTGCATCAGATAGACACCTTTTTAGGCCTTAACAACCAACTTCAAAATTTGACCTCACTTGACCTGACCTTGACCTGACCTCGACCTGAAATTCATCCAGAGGTGGTCCATATCACTTATTGAGTGTGCCTATTGAATTCTATGAGTAAAATGACCCATAAAACATGTGTCGCACATGCCCTTTTCTATATTTTGTTTTTTGGTGACCTGACCTGACCTGACCTGACCTTGACCTTGACCTCTGAATGATATTGTATGCAACGAATATTGTCTTGGTAGCCTAAGAACACGTTTTGGGCGATCAGTCTCAGTCCATGACTCCATTCTTCGGCAACTACGGTGCAAGGCCGATACTGTAGAAACTTGCAATTTGTACCCTTGACCTGACCTTGACCTTGACCTCAAACTTTAAATTAAGTACATGTTTTTAGTAGTTCGTGATAAGAGCTTTCGATTGGCGTTTGAATTTTCCAAATCGGACCATTAGTTCGGGAGATAACA